GTCCAAAATCATTTCCAAAACCCAAAAAAGAAATTAAAATTGGAAGTATTATTTTTTTTCATTCGTTTTTGGTTTTTTTCATGTCGGTAATCAGACACGTCATCCATCAATCCTCCCATCGACTCACAAACCTCCCATCTTTATCGCCGCGCTTCCAAAATCATTTCCAAAACCCAAAAAAATAAATTAAAATTGGAATTATTGTTTTTTTTTGTTTTTCGTTTTTCTTATGTCAGTAATCACACACGTCATTCATCTATCCTCCCATCGACTTAAAAACCTCCCATTTTTATCGCCGACTTCCAAAATCATTTCCAAAATCCAAAAAAACTAATTGAAATGAAAATTTTTTTTTTTTTCCCTTTGTTTTTGATTTTTTTCATGTCGGTAATCAGACACATCATCCATCAATCCTCCCATCGACTCACCAACCTCCCATCTTTATCGCCGCGCGTCCAAAATCATTTCCAAAACCCAAAAAAGAAATTAAAATTGGAAGTATTATTTTTTTTCATTCGTTTTTGGTTTTTTTCATGTCGGTAATCAGACACGTCATCCATCAATCCTCCCATCGACTCACAAACCTCCCATCTTTATCGCCGCGCTTCCAAAATCATTTCCAAAACCCAAAAAAACAAATTAAAATTGGAATTATTGTTTTTTTTTCTTTGTTTTTCGTTTTTCTTATGTCAGTAATCACACACGTCATTCATCTATCCTCCCATCGACTTAAAAACCTCCCATCTTTATCGCCGCACTTCCAAAATCCTTTCCAAAATCCAAAAAAACTAATTAAAATTGAAATTATTATTTTTTTCCCTTTGTTTTTGGTTTTTTTCATGTCGGTAATCAGACACATCATCCATCAATCCTCCCATCGACTCACCAACCTCCCATCTTTATCGCCGCGCGTCCAAAATCATTTCCAAAACCCAAAAAAGAAATTAAAATTGGAAGTATTATTTTTTTTCATTCGTTTTTGGTTTTTTTCATGTCGGTAATCACACACGTCATCCATCAATCCTCCCATCGACTCACAAACCTCCCATCTTTATCGCCGCGCTTCCAAAATCATTTCCAAAACCCAAAAAAACAAATTAAAATTGGAATTATTGTTTTTTTTTCTTTGTTTTTCGTTTTTCTTATGTCAGTAATCACACACGTCATTCATCTATCCTCCCATCAACTCACAAACCTCCCATCTTTATCGCCGCGCGTCCAAAATCATCTCTAAAACCCAAAAAAACAAATTAAAATTGGAATTATTATTTTTTTCCTTTTGTTTTTTGTTTTTTTCCTCCGTTTTTGATTTTCTTTTCATGTCGGTAATCAGACATGGATGACCATCAACCCTCCCACCGACTCATAAACCCTCCCTCCTATCTCCATCGCCGCGCGTCCAAAATCATTTCCAAAATCAAAAAAGGATATTAAAATTGAAGTTATATTTTTTTATTTTGTTTTTCGTTTTTTCTTTATCTCGGTAATCTGACACATCATCCATTTATCCTCTCATCAACTCACAATCATTTTTTTTTCATTGCTGCGCGTCCAAAATCATTTTCAAAAACCAGAAAACAAATAAAATTCGAATTATAATTTTTTTTCCTTTGTTTTTGGTTTTTTTCATGTCAGTAATCTGACAAGTCATTCATCAATCTTCCCATCGACTCACAACCTCTCCATCTTTATCGTCACGCGTCCAAAATATTTTCCAAAACTCAAAAAAGAAATTAAAATAGCAATCTTTTTCTTATTTGTTTTTCTTATTTTTCGATGTCGGCAATGAGACACGTCATCGAGACCTACTGGAAATAAAAGAAAAAACAAATTCTTCGGTTTCTTAATTTAAGTTTTTTTGAAATTAATTCTCCGCGATAATGGGCCGGAAGGGGTGGAGTGGGTAGGTGACGATGTACTACATAAAAAACCAATTTTTTTAAAATATAAACATTTAGAAAAAATCTTTTTCGGCCCTTGAATAAGTAGTAACAGAATTAAAAAAATAAAAAGTCGGACAACATTAAAAAATCAAAAT